AATTTGTAGGTGTGTATACTTTTTAGGTGGTAAAACTATTTGTAGGCGTGTACACTTGTTAGGTGGTAAAACTATGGGCGTGTATACTTTTTAGGTGGAAAAACTATTTGTAGGTGTGTATACTTTTTAAATAGTAATACTATTTGTAGGCGTGTATACTTTTAAGGTGATAAAACTATTTGTAGGCGTGTATACTTGTTAGGTGGTAAAACTATAGGCGTGTATACTTTTTAGATGGTAAAAAACTATTTGTAGGTGTGTATACTTTTTAGATAGTAATACTATTTGTAGGCGTGTGTACTTTTTAGATAGTAATACTTTTTATAGGAAATATGTATACTGTATGAAGATTATATGACAATTGTAATTTTTTTGTCTGTTATTTGTAAAACCTAGACTTTGGTATTTAATATTCAACCACGCGCATTGCAAAGTTATGAAAACACACTTAAGCCACTGTCTAACATCCCGTCACTGATCTAATCTTTTGACCACACTTTTACTCATGAGATTACATCAATCATTCTCTACACTATGGTCTAGATAAGTTGGCCGCTGATTTGTCTTTTGGTACTATTTAATCGTTGATTTATTTATACGCGAGGATAAAAAGTTTCCAACTTAACTGTGTTTAAGTAATAGCACTTTGTGAGTATGCTCTGTAACGTCAGAACTCGTCATATTTAAAGATTCTTTTTTCTACTCCGTTGCTACATCGTAATTTCATGTTATATCTTCGATATTCCAACAAAACTAACAAAATCTAAATGTTTATTCTATGGTATTTGTTGTCTTTATGTCATCAGGATCGTTACTTTAGTGATTAGAATGATATACTCAGCAGGAGATAAATTATCCTATATTTCTATTGTGAAGTATATCCATCGCCTAAGATTCATGGATATTTACTGGTATATTTTTATTGTGGCCCTGTAGAGCGTGAAACATCCGCTTATAGGACCCGATAGCAGCATCAAAATGGGTATGTGTTTTATGATGACTGGATTCTGAGACGATTCTCAATCTATCATGCAAAGCAACGAAACATTAATCGGACTGCGGTATGGATCCACATGAAATCTGCTCAAACCATCGTGGTAGTCTCTCCCCATGGTGATCGTATTTGACACGTGCAGGTCGAGCGGCAAAGTTTTGATGACGACATAGATTGATACATTACATAAAGTATAGACACAGCAATGCTGATTGGTCTGTAATTTAAGGATGTAGTGGAGAGAATAAAGATAAACTGGTGTCGTCGGGAGATCAATACCTACACCAATTTACTTTAGGTTCGGAACTGTAACGTTGGCTGGAAAAAATCCCAATTGTCAACGTCAATACCAGAAAAAGGTATCCAATGTGATTTCGGTAGCGGGAACGTTCGCAGGGGCCGCGGTGGACAAGTGGTGAAGGCGTCTAACTAGCCTTCCACCTAACCCTATATCAATTTCACATTTCATTCACAATTGTAGGGATTAATGTATGCCATCCGGTGAAGCCCAAATAGAAATTCTCGCATCGTTGACCTAATAAACGTTTGTAACGAAAGTCCCGAGAACAACGAAGGCCATAATACATAAGTACGAGAATTATACGACGGAGATCAAACGGGACTGACCTCAATCCTTCTCTCTTTCTGTCGTATTTTCGCATCCTCGTCGTCTTACTGTCTTGTTCTCGCTCTGCTGTCGTCGTATCCGTGCTCCCTCGCCGCCGTCCTGTTGTCGCGGTCTTGCTTCTTCCTCGTGGTCGTATATGTTTGTGTTATTGCTCTCTTGCCATCGTCATTTCGTTGTTTCGCTCACTCACAAAGAGTAGAAATTTGGAGTGAGGTAGGTAGAATTGTTATCAAATCCTTGTCGGGTATGATATCGCTGATATGACTGCAGAGGTTGAAAGGAATCACGCTTTAGATATAGACAGTATCAATGCAAAAACCTAGAGGTTACAGTAAGTATCTTATCCTGGTCGGAATTAGTGTAGGAAGTTCGCGGTACGGAATCAGTGCAGGAAGTTCGCGGTACGGAATCAGTGTAGGAAGTTCGCGGTACGGAATCAATGAAAGTGTTCTTGGTTTTGAATTAATGTAGGAAATTCAGAGTATGCAATCTGCGTATGGAATTCGCGGTAAGGAATCGGCGCAATGAGTTCTTCATTCGCAATCAGTGTATTGTGTTCTTTGTATGGATTACATGTATTAAATCAATGTATGGAGTTCGTTGTATGGAATCAGTGTACGGTTTTCGCGGTTCGAAATAGTGTATGGAGTTAACGGTACCGAATCTGTGTCTAGAGTTAGCGGTATGAAATCAGTGTATTGAGTAGGTCGGGGAATTGACTGAGTAAGTGGCCCTAGATGTGTTTACAAGTCTTGCCAGTTGTTTAGTCGTAAACGTCTAGTGGACGAGTAGATGAGGGGTGCGAGAGGTGCTCAGACAAGTAATTTACTGCCTTTACGGACGTTCCAGCAGCACCACTGTTTCATGTCGGCTTTCTCTACGTCACAATTGTAGGTATATATGAGTGTGTATACATGGAGAGTCTGCTTTATTACAGGATCAGAGAGAAGTTTTAATCCGTGTGCGTGATGGCGACTTGAACAAAACATAGGTCTTCCGCCACATGTCATAGAATGGGGCATGACCAGAAGGCTTATTGCCAGGAACTTGCTCAATGGCCGACCTTAAATCGAAAAAGGACACGCACGTTGTGGGGGAAATGTACGTACATGTAACGTAGCGTCAGACTGAGAGTTGTAACGTGATGTTGACTTGAGATGTTGTTTCCACTAACCACTATCTCCACCACGCCAAACGTCTATCTAAGGCCGAAGCACATAATTTGCACGACTCCAGACAAAAAGATGAATATGCCTTGCATAAGTCTATATGATAATTAAAATCTGAACTCTTTCTCTTGAATGAACAAGAAAAGTGTGTGGTTGGAGTGGCACTATTCCTCTCCCGCGATGACAAGACGTCGGTAATAGCTATGCGTTCTACATTTATTTTATCTTAATTTATAAAAAAAAGTTTAAAGTGAGTATAGATTTTTCTAGTCTGTCATGCAAGTTGAATCTGCTTCACGCGATTGAAAGCGTAAAGAGACCGCGTTCCCGGACTGAAGCGTCCCGCTGATGGAGCTGTCGGTCCACCAGATGTACGTGCAATGTTCATGCGTGATTCTGCGTGTGATGGAGCAGCTAATGTCTAGGCAGGAAGGCAACACGCTAAAAATAATACAAAAACGCCAAAACGCCAGGTACACAGAGTTATGAGCATTTTATAGGTTTACTATATAGACTGCAACTTAACGTAATGTAGCAATCACATTTTATTGTGATGTATAACCTGTTTTAATATTTACTGCCGTTACAGTAGGACTATTAAGCCGAAGCACTCAAGGTTTAGCCGCCATATAAGGCTTTAACAGGGCACATGTCTGCACAAATGCGCCTTGATTCATGGTTACCTCCAAGGTCACATCATCGCCTGTCGTTGAACAATCTGTTAAAAATGTGTCGACTGGTCAATGTTATCGGACGTTACAAAGACGATGTTTTTTTCCTGGAACGATAAAGACACCGGACACCATCGCGTTCCGGTTTTTGTGCGTTTCATTACTTAGATATTTCCTCTTCCGGTGTTTTGGGAAGAAGCCAAGGGAAATGGCTTCTCAGTTATTGCGGGCCATCATCTAATGCATGTTTGAGTGACACCAACTCGTGGTCATTGTCAGATTGTATGGCGTACGGTTACGTCTCTCGGCCCAGTCTGTAGCATCACCGCGCTCTCGGGAGTCACGTCCTACATGGCATGTCGGACTGGTATATATGTCAGTACTAATATGGTGTGTGGGTCCAGATGCCGAGCCATCATTGCAGGAAGACGTCTGATCCCTGTCCCATGGGTTCCGCTACACAGTGGGCGTGGCCACGACCGTCCGGCTACTTTTTATCGTGATATCGTAATCTCGCGGGCAAGTGCGCGTCTCTGTCATGTGATCAGATAGTTACAAATGTAGTGCATGTTTCCAAGAAAAGCACGTAAGGTAGATGGTTATGATTGCACTTCTTTTAAAACACAAAATGGCGATACCTCAAACACTGTATCTGTTAATGCGATTTTGCATGCACATTAATATCATACATGTATATAGCGGTCAACAGCAATGGTCTGTCAAAAAGCTGATATATCCAAAACATTCTTATATATACTTTTGTAGCTCCGCGACCACCCGAACAATTTTATTGTTTGACATGTGATCTATTTGGTTCATTAACATACTTATACTACACAGTTTCGAATATAAGTAACCATGTGATAGGTAGGCGTGTATCGGTAGTAACACTAGAGGTCAAAGATCTAGAGAGAAAAGAAAACCAAAGTACGGAACTAGGAACTTTAGAAAACAGAACCATTTCCGCGCTAAAATGCTGTTTCACTATAAGGTAAAACATGTTTAAAATGAACTGAAGAGGGTCACAAAGAAACACGAATACAGCGTCAATATAAGGATTAAAATACATTTTTTGACATTTGTCGTCTGCAGTTTCCCGTTCAACCATATCCAAAATGCGCTACCGCGCATCATGTTTGAACGAATTGTGTTTCATACTATCATAAATATTGAAAGATGCATTTTAATTATCAAATTTACAGAGAACATACGTAACTACGCCGTGCGAAGTATGTTTGTATCAGAAGCCCTAGTAACTTTATCCTGACAATACTAAAAATTGAGAATATTAGCTATCCAATCGTAATTTGCTTAAACCTGAAATCTCCACCCACTAAAAGGTATTTATTAAGTAGTCTAGTGAATCTTTTAAATGTGTCATCAGTTGATTCACTTTATCTTGATTATTTTTCTCAGAGACATTTTACTTTTTTGTTTTATTGTCGCACTTTTCGTATAAAGAAAAACGTGTCAGAGTAAAGAAGCAAACAGTACGACCTTAAACTTTTGTCAATGAGGACCCGTGACGTCATACTCACGTATCGAGCGTCGACATTCATCACGGAGCACGAGAGGACGGCGGTTTCACCTGTGTTGTAGGACACGTTTGTAGGACGTGGATTAAAAAATGGAATCTTTGTGCTGTCGTCTTCGGGAAAGGCTGAAAATAGATAAAACACGTGATCAACAGAAGGTCACACCCACGTTTAAATTGATACAGATTGTAGACCACATTTATACACACTACTGTTGCTGATTTAACGACAGGTGAAGTTATCGAACCCTGGGTAATTTGGGAGAGAGTTTTCAAGGACAAACGTATATAGTGTCGCTCAAGTTCATGCTACAAAGATAATTTATCGGTACGTCAATTCTTCATTGAAGGTTTATATTGATTGGCTGTTGAAATGTGTGAATATTTTTATACTTATATTTTAAAGCATACCTTTGACTTCAACCATTTTTACTTTTAAAACATTTTAATGAGTACCTTTGAAATATATCGTTTTACTTTATATTTTAATGGGTATTTCCGACAGAGATGATCGTTTTACTTTATATTTTAATGGGTATATCCGACAGAGATCGTTTTACTTTATATTTTAATGGGTACTTCCGACAGAGATCATTTTATGCGTAGTTTACGGTTTAAGCCGATTCTGAACACAGATATTTCATAAGAATAATGCGACGTTTGAACAGAAGTTCATTTTTTGATGTGCGTATATATATTGTAGGGGAGACTGGGGCATATTCGGTCCATTTTTATTAAAATTGTTCCGGATACATAATGTAGTATGCTATTCTTTTTAAACGTATGTGTATTTACAACATTTGTAAGAGAAAAAGCAATGCCTTTCATAATATAATCACAAAAGGGAAAAGAAATTGGATTGGATCGAACGAGCCCTGTCTTGGGGTAAGTTCGGAAATTCCGAACTTGCTCCGGCATAATGGGCATAACCTTCCCCAAACTGATATTAAATAAAGTCGTATGTTACAACAATACAAACGTAAATGCTAGACTTTTATTTATACCAACAAGGAAAGCTGTCAGTATGTTACACGTATGACATTAATAAGTAGTGATTCGGTTTACAGAAAATTCGCAAAACTAGCAAGAAGCGAGGTCATGATTTTCTTTCCACTATCCCAAACGCCCTTTTTTCGTGTGAATGTCCTGCCCAGTCAACTTTACTACTAAGATCCTCAAAGTTGTAAATGTTTGTTCATGGCCAAAACTATCAGGGTGACCGGACTAACCCCGGGGCCGAACTTGCCCCGGTCTCCCTTAGTTGTGCCGGTAGGAGATAAGCTTGCTTGATAACAAAGGATACCCTAACTGTACATTTTGTAAAATTTAACTTTTTTCAAAAGACGAAAAACTTAGTAATCATGTGTCTGTAGTACGTGTACAATCTTTACGGATACCGATTAGTATTAGTAAATGACCTGCCGTGTTTGTATTGATTTCCGAAAGTCAACAAATATTTTTTATAAAAAATCGATTCATCGGTTGCTCTGCTAGTCGTTCAAACAAGCCATTATCCAAACGTCTTACCACATGTACTATTGTAAGTAATATTAAGTTAGCGTAGTCCAGAAGTTCAACACATAGAACGTGAAATTGAAGAACTCAACAGATCTTTTAATCAGTCCTGAACATCATCTCCTCTATATTATCCACTCCATACACTTCCATACCTCATCACTAAAGGAAAGCCTTCGTTCTCTTGTTATCTTATTTTCAGACAGATGTATTGACGATGTTCGGTCGTTAAATAACAAGAGATGTATTAAGTACGTCTATTATATGCCCTAATGAACATAGGAATCAAAGACACTACAGACTCTTTTACATTAGCCGATTACCTCGATATTTATTTCCAACATGATCAACAGGGATGGCTTACAATTCAGCTGTAAAATAAGCGGAACGACTTCAATTTTCACATCGTGAACCTTCCCTTTCTTGATAGTTACACCACTTCATCGACAATCTACGGTGTATACATGTTGCAGCTAATCAAAATTGAATGGTTTATTCAGGATACCATTATTTCCATGACAGATTGCGGCAAGTGATGGATTAACGTACACCACTTGGTTTGGAGAAATGCTGGTTAATGAAGACTATGATTACCATTTTATCTGCGATATGAAGGTCATAGATTTGATAAAGCTCATTAGTACATATTTTGTTGGCCATGTTGTTACGTAGCAAGGAAATTTCTTGCATTTGACCTAGATTTACACGGCGGGTTGTCGATGAAATACGGTACGCAAACCCTTCCGGAACATCTGGTCTTATTCTCCTTGTACTTTTTAAAGATGTCCAATTTGTTTTTTCTTCTTTTTAGGTAATATGATCAATAAAGGATTTCTTGTGACATGCTGAGTTTTATTTTCCATTTTAATTATTATGAAAATACCAGCGATTCAATTTTTGCCTATGTCTTGTTTAGCTTACAAAGTTTGTACTATAGTTTACTAAAATAAAGGAATAATCAAAACTGTATTTTGATGTATTTTAGAAGTATATCGTGATAAAACTGTCGTATATGAAGTTTTACTGGCTACGTAGAACTTAGGATATATACAATGTACATATCTTATAAAATTTGTGCATCCAGTATATGCTATCTACTGCGATAAAGTAACCAATAAATAATTTTAAACAGAGCGGAATTCTCATATCAATAAATAATAAGATATTAATCTCCAGATTTGGTAAATGCGATTTAAAATGAGTTCTGTTTGCTTGATCCTATTTTGATATGTTTCGATTGTGACAATACTATAAACATTGTAAAGGAAAATGTTTGAAAAAGATGTTTAATAATAGACAATAGCATCGTCCTGAGATTTTCTTCTACACTGCTAGAAATCATGGGAGATTTTTCTTTTAGTGTCCACAAACACGCAAACGCGTGACTTGTTGACGCCCCTACATCTATTTTAGACATTAGAAGTGCGTCGGCCTAGCAGCCTATGGGCATATATATTGTCCATCGCAACCATACACGTGCATATGGTGTGTATGTAAATGTATTAGAGTTTTATTTAGAATTGTATCTTATTCTGATCTAGTAATTGTTAAACGATATCTTTGCCAATATAGCGGTATTCACTGAAGTATAAATGTACATGTATGATGTCATTATTGAGTGGGATGAGGTTAGGGGAGTGAATTTGAGAGTGACACGCCCCTATCAGCAGTGAAGTCCTTAAAGACAGGACGGTCGTATAAGCAGCGTGTTTCAGAGTGGCACGCCCCTTTTATAACGTAGCCAGTAACACGCATATGTTCAATTACCCTAACTCCATTTTCCACATTACAAAGTGTGGTATGCATATCAAAACCTTAAGCATTAAACTACAATGAATCTATATTGTTGGTATTGTCTAAACACTATTTTATTGGACGATCAATTTGCTGCTTTTCAAAGATGATTAAAGTACGCGATCGTTAAAGCGCCTTCGTTTCCCGGGTTTACGAGAGACATATCCATTGTCTTGACAATAAGAAGGTCGTATTGTTGGCTATCAACTGCGGTCTGTTGGAGGAGTATCTCGGGGATCTCGGACATCAAATCAATCTTGTCTGTGTAACACTAAAGTACATAGTCTATAGGTTCGCTTATTGGTCGTAATAAGCTCGAAAATAGATAAACAAAATGGCTATAAGTGTTCCATTGTCTTTATGTTTAGTTCGATTACATTCACTTCACCGCATGAATGTGTACCGCATTCTGTGTGGTAATGGCGGTTTGTATGAACGACTGGCGTCCTCTAAGTTGGGATGGCGTATTAAAGTGTTTCTCCCTCTATGTGGCGATTTCGGTTTGTATGAAAGTGTAAGCTTTTTGTGTTTTAAATTCACCCTCTGTGTGGTAATGGCGGTGTGTACGAACGTGTGGCGCCCTCTATGTTGCGATGGCGTATGAAGGTGTAGCGCCCTCTTGTGGCGATTTAGGTTTGTATGAAAGTGTAAGCTTTTTATTGTGCTTTCCATTCACCCTCTGTGTGGAAATGGCGGTTTATATAAACGCATGGCGCCCTCTATGTTACGATGGCCTATTAAGTTTTGGCGCCCTCTATGTGGCGATTTTTGGTTTGCACGAAAGTGTAGGATTTTATGTGCGTTTTTTTATCCACTGTGTGGTTATGGCGGTTTCTATTTAGTGTTCGTGACTGTTTTTCAACGTTAGCCTACAATTTGTATTTTATCATTTGACATTACAGTTTGTTACCCTAATTAATTATTAATTGATAACTCGGCTGTATTTTTTGCTACAACGGTATCGCAAACAGTAGTATAACGCACGCGCTTCTTAAAAATAAAGTACACCGTACTTGTTAAGGGCGTCAACTCCTATTAACCAATAGTCATATAACGTTTCGCCGCTCATCCTATTGACTTAAATTGGCTTTATTTAGGACTAATATGACTATTTATCGGTACTTAGTAGAACATTTTCGTTTCAAAATTGTTCCGAAACGTCTGTAGAAATGCAGCAAAAGAAAAGGTGCCTATACGCCACTGACTAGGGAGTAATTATGATGCTGTGGCACTGTTAAAAGAGAAATGGACATTTAGATATTGCAACTGACATTTTGAAAAACAGGTGAGATCGGGAAAACGACCGGATTAAGTCAAAGTGCATATCCTTGTGGCATGAAGTGGGTTCGTGGTAAACACTACAATGACCAATAGAACCATAGCTGTCACCTGCTCTTCTAGTTTTATCGCCTGTAAAACCCATTAAAATCACAAAAACAAACGAATACTGTACATGGTGTTTTCGGCATGGTATTTAAGTGAGGAAGCACTCAGTCGGAAGCAGATCCGCGCTATCGCAAGGAGACAAATGCATGTGCAACCACAAACCCTGCCACCAGCACCCATATATTAGGCATGGAGGCACGTCCTAAATGACCTTAGTTGTTACATATGTAATATAGGACATTAAACAAAATAAAACCAAACCAAACCAACCCATTCAAAACTGCCCTGCAGCCTCGTTTTCAGCGCCAACATCTTGTACGATGGAGCTGATGTGATCGACAGCATAGTTAATTTATTAGAGATATTTACATTAAAATCTATCTTAAACAGATCTGGAATATTTAACCTTACAGATTCTGTTTCAGACATTT